CTTATGTTGTAAATTTTGGATAAAATGAATACAAATTGAATGGAACTGTCATTTTTATCTGTTTAAATGGAACTGTTTATTATTCTTTTCAAATAAGATAAGATATGCTTGGATACAGGTTGTTTATTAAGCCTTATCTGAAAGAAGTAGAGAAAGAGGTAAATCAGCATGTAGGGATGGGGACATAAAATGATCCATGTTTCTTTAAGTAGTGGGGACATACAAGTATTTATTATAGCCAAGGTTTTCACAATAACCCAGTATTGCATTAATGGTGTCATAAGAGTTCTTTATATCTTTATGTCACAGTATAGGGAAAACGGTACTATTACATTTTCCCAGCATTAGGTTGGCCTTTTGTGTACCCAAGGCAGGTTAAGGAAGTCAACTTAGGAGAGCTGTGATTGGATGTAAGGGTACAATACATTTTTTTATTTATCTATGAATAACCGCAGTGTGTATATTTACAATATAAATTTTGAAACCTATTGAAATATTTTCTAGAGAATTATTGGAAAAGACTTCCAAAATTTAATAAATTTGGTGTAAAATGACGGTGGGCATGGATAACATAAACAAGCTCCGTTGGAAGTTGGTCAAGATACTATTTGGCTTTAATTTTTAAAACAGAATAATAAAGTACTAACACCACACATAACTGTTTTATCCAGGTTTTTATTATAAAAAGTGGTAAATTTAGAAAATGTTAGTATTGTCGCCTATGGCAGAATAAATAGTACCGTTTCCCCTCTAGTACAAATAAAGGTTATTTGAATTTTGTATTCAAATAAACTTCTTCCATTCTTCTTCTTAGTATGAGCCTCCTTAAATTAGGAGACCCTCCAAATATATGGAGTTTTTCCTTAACTTTAAAATTTTAAAGAATAAAATAAAAAACATTTTTTCCAACATATGTACAGCACATATAAATATAAAACAATAAAAGTATCATGCATGGCATATTTACAGGGACCTTTTTATTAATTATTTAATTTCATTTTCATAGCTTTTAATATTTGTCCAGAGCTTCTTTACATTTCTTACAATTGTTATATGACAGACTCTGTGTCAGTATATATATATGTCACTTATGATAATCACTATTTTCATTTGGTTGTCATTTACTCCATTTTGAGATATATATGTATATATATACGTATATGCAATATATGTCTTGCTATTTGTGGGGCCTCGGTGGCCGAGTGGTCTAAGTAGTTACTACTGTAATCAGTAGCCAGTCAACACTGAGGTTGTGAGTTCGAACCCCGCTCCTGCGGGTGCACTCGACTCCAATCTTAATTGACTAGGATTGTCAGTTTTCCTATCGAAGGTCGGTGGTTTTCACCGGGCACTCCGGCGTCCTCCACCAATAAAAACTGGCCGCCACGAAATAGCTCAAAAGCGGTGCTTAAAAGTGGCGTTAAAACACCAAAAATAAAAAAAATCAATCTTGCTATTTGTTGTCCATAATTTTCAATCTTTCTAATATGCATTTGGAATAACATATTTCTGGTTTTGTTTTCAATATTTTCCTTGAATTTTTCACAGTTATTAAACAGCTCCTTATATTTTGAACAGTCTATAAGCAATTGTACTATCGCAGTTTTGTTAGTGAAGGTGCAGTTCCATTTTGTTGGTGTGATTTTATCAGTGATCTCTTTTCTTATTTCAGGGAAATATTTTTCCCTTGTAGTACTGAGTATAAACTCATTTAAAATGTTTGTCTTTACTTACAATGTAAACATTCAGAAACTAGAACTAGAGGCTCTAAAGAGCCTGTGTCGCTCACCTTGGTCTATGAGCATATTAAACAAAGGACACAGATGGATTCATGACAAAATTGTGTTTTGGTGATGGTGATGTGTTTGTAGATCTTACTTTACTGAACATTCTTGCTGCTTACAATTATCTCTATCTATAATGAACTTGGCCCAGTAGTTACAGTGGAAAATATTTTGTAAAAATTTACAAAAATTTACAAAATTTATGAAAATTATAAAAAAATGACTATAAAGGGCAATAACTCCTTAAGGGGTCAATTGACAATTTTGGTCATGTTTGACTTATTTGTAGATCTTACTTTGCTGTACATTATTGCTGTTTACAGTTTATCTCTATCTATTATAATATTCAAGATAATAACCAAAAGCTGCAAAATTTTCTTAAAATTACCAATTCAGGGGCAGCAACCCAACAACGTGTTGCCTGATTGGTCTGAAAATTTCAGGGCATATAGATCTTGACCTACTGAACAATTTTATCCCGTCAGATTTGCTCTAAATGCTTTGGTTTCAGAGATATGAGCCAAAAACTGCATTTTACCCTATGTTCTATTTTTTAGCCATGTCGGCCATCTTGGTTCGCGGGCGGGGTCATCGGACACATTTTTTAAACTAGATACCCTAATGATGATTGTGTACAAGTTTGGTGAAATTTGTCTTAGTAGTTTCAGAGGAGAAGATTTTTGTAAAAGATTACAAAAATTAACGAAAAATGGTTAAAAATTGACTATAAAGGGCAATAACACCTTAAGGGGTCAACTGATAATTTTGGTCAAGTTGACTTATTTGTAGATCTTACTTTGCTGAACATTACTGCTGTTTACAGTTTATCTCTATCTATAATAATATTCAAGATAATAACCAAAAACAGCAAAATTTCCTTAAAATTACCAATTCAGGGGCAGCAACCCAACAACATGTTGTCAGATTCATCTGAAAATTTCAGGGCAGATAGATCTTGACCTGATAAACAATTTTACCCCCATGCAAGATTTGCTCTAAATGCTTTGGTTTCCAGAGATATAAGCCAAAATCTACATTTTACCCCTATGTTCTATTTTTAGCCATGGCGGCCATCTTGGTTGGTTGGCCGGGTCACCGGACACATTTTTTTAACTAGATACCCTAATGATGATTGTGAACAAGTTTGGTTTAATTTGGCCAAGTAGTTTCAGAGGAGAAGATTTTTGTAAAAGTTAACGACGACGGACGACAGACACCAAGTGATGAGAAAAGCTCATTTGGCCCTTTGGACCAGGTGAGCTAAAAAGTGTGAACATTGAGGTGGAATGCTGAAAATAAACTGTTAATAGAAAAGATCTTATAGTACATAATTATAGATCCTGGCATATATGTGTCTGACAATTTATACAAAACTCTATAATAGTCTTTCATTTTAAAAGTTGTTTACAAGGTAAAATAATTTGTTCCACTATTTTTCTCTAAAAGTAAAAACTAGAGGCTCTAAAGAGCCTGTGTTGCTCACCTTGGTCTATGTGCATAATAAACAAAGGACACAGATGGATTCATGACAAAATTGTGTTTTGGTGATGGTGATGTGTTTGTAGATCTTACTTTACTGAACATTCTTGCTCCTTACTATTATCTCTATCTATAATGAACTTGGCCCGGTAGTTACAGTGCAAAATATTTTGTAAAAATTTACAAAAATTTACAAAATTTATGAAAATTGTAAAAAATTGACTACAAAGGGCAATAACTCCTTAAGGGGTCAATTGACAATTTTGGTCATGTTGACTTATTTGTAGATCTTACTTTGCTGTACATTATTGCTGTTTACAGTTTATCTCTATCTATAATAATATTCAAGATAATAACCAAAAGCTGCAAAATTTTCTTAAAATTACCAATTCAGGGGCAGCAACCCAACAACGTGTTGCCTGATTGGTCTGAAAATTTCAGGGCAGATACATCTTGACCTAATGAATAATTTTATTCTCGTCAGATTTGCTCTAAATGCTTTGGTTTCAGAGATATGAGCCAAAAACTGCATTTTACCCTATGTACTATTTTTTAGCCATGTCACCATCTTAGTTCGCGGGCGGGGTCATCGGACACATTTTTTAATCTAGATACACTAATGATGATTGTGGACAAGTTTGGTTAAATTTGCCTTAGTAGTTTCAGAGAAGAAGATTTTTGTAAAAGATTACAAAAATTTACGAAAAATGGTTAAAAATTGACTATAAAGGGCAATAACTCCTTAAGGGGTCAACTGACCATTTTGGTCAAGTTGAATTATTTGTAGATCTTACTTTGCTGAACATTATTGCTGTTTACAGTTTATCTCTATCTATAATAATATTCAAGATAATAACCAAAAACGGCAAAATTTCCATAAAATTACCAATTCAGGGGCAGCAACCCAACAACGGGTTGTCCGATTCATCTGAAAATTTCAGGGCAGATAGATCTTGACCTGATAAACAATTTTATCAGATTTGCTCTAAATGCTTTGGTTTCAGAGATATAAGCCAAAATCTACATTTTACCCCTATGTTCTATTTTTAGCCATGGTGGCCATCTTGGTTGGTTGGCCGGGTCAACGGACACATTTTTTAAACTAGATACCCCAATGATGATTGTGGCCAAGTTTGGTCAAATTTGGCCCAGTAGTTTCAGAGGAGAAGAATTTTGTAAAAGTTAACGACGACGACGACGACGGACGACGGACGCCAAGTGATGAGAAAAGCTCACTTGGCCCTTTGGGCCAGGTGAACTAAAAAAAAGAATTTCCCTACCTACCTACCCACACCTGAGACTGGTGGGTAAGGTTTGGGCAAACAGAAATATTTTTAAGTCTGGCCTTGTATTATTAAATCATTTTGCTAAAGTTTGTTAAACCAAGTGCTTTTGTGTATTCTCTACATTCAGACTGAAATGTGTAAAACTTCTATCAATTCTTAATGTAACTTGGGCATTTTTTATTCAAGATAAAGACATCTAATGCCACTACTGCATGTACATTGAAAGTTTCAAAGCAGGCCACATCTCCTGTTTTGACTATTAGATGCATTTTTATTGAATCCAGTGGCTTAAATTCAATGGATAAATCAAGATCCTTGGATCACTATTGTTATTTGTCAGTAAAACAAAATGAAGAAAAAGTCATCAAAGTTATATACACAATATAATGTGTGTCAATCAAGAAGACAGTGAAGAACTGAAATGCATTCGAAAATATACTTTGGTACTTACCATCTCTAGTCCATTCCATATTTCTTCAAACTGTTCTTTTGTAATAACTTTCTCTGAATGTAAAAACGTATTCCTAAAGAATTTAATCCTAGATATATCAGCACCTATAGATTTGTCGTCCGCAAAAGGCAAAATGTCAGCAATATCCAAACGAGTTAGATTTCTTAATAGAACAATCATCAAACGTAAGTCAAAAGTTTCTGATAAAGGTTTCAAAATGTTATCTGCAATACAATAAAAAAAAAAACAAGATAAAAATACCCAGATTGATGGCTGTTTAACATCCAGTGGCAACTATTACATGCAATTTCAGAACAAGAACATTTGTTTTGATGTGATGTGATTATGAACCTTGTGTACTGTATACCTTTGAACTAGACATAATTACCGAGGAGAATTTTTAACGAATGCTTTACAAGGTACTGAGGATTCTTTATGTTTGTGGATACCAATTATCGTGGATTGAGGAAAACTTGCATTTTCATGGTTTTGCCAAAGTCTGCACACATTCTGATAGAAAATTTGTAATTCATTGTACATTGGAATTTGTGGTTCCCGATCGCGAGTAACCACGAAATCCACGAAAATTGGTATCCAACGAATAATAATGAATCCACAAGTAAGTAAATAGAAATGTAGCTCTATTAAGACACTTTATTCCGACTCCCAGCTGACTAGTCTTAACTTATACTCCTAAAACCTGCATGCTTAGCAGAGACAGCAAACGCAAATTTTACAAGTCTCTAATTTGACCCTGTTGGGGTGGTTTCATAAATATGGAAAGTCATAAAATGATATAATTAGGCTGCATGTTCAAACCTTACAAAATGATACCACACCCTGGCGAACTCCAAAATTCCCAAAATGATACTGATAAGAAAAACAAAATAGCACATTACAATAGCATTATATGATTAATATTGTTAGAAGTTGTCCATAAATAGTAATGAGAGATTTAGGAGGAGTTGTGTTTACAAAATGGGTAACCCATATATAAAGCAATCGCAACGACCAAAGGTTTCAATATTTCAGTCTCACTAAATTCAACTTTCTATACATAATGCCTTATGGTTTAATATATGGTGGTTTTAAAAATTGGCCAATTATATTTAAAGATGGCCACTGGTGGCCATGATTTCATATGGCTAAACAAAATTTGGTCAGAAGGGTACATTAGGCCAAAAAAAAATATATGTCTGTTTACGGTTACCTGACTGTCCCTACTTTTAAGCACCGACCCTAAGTCATTTTATTTCCTTTGTAAATGGAAAAATAAACTGAACTCGTGTCTAAAGAAAAGTTAGTGTTGCAAATAATATAAATCAATTGCCTGATACATCCTAATGTTCACAATCGTGAACATGACAGCTGTTTTAAGGAAATTCGCAACTCGTGTGATAAAATAAACACTTTGCCGCCATTTTTTTCCAAGGGAAATAATCCAATCATTAAAAATTTCGGTAAACTCGGCCCATGATCAACTCGGACCACGACAAGATGAAACGGCATGAATCAAAATCATGTCACAAAAAATAAAATGAAAAAATAAAATAAAATGGAAATACCGACCTACCTACCCTATTTTTTTAAAGTATGTAACCTTAAACAGACATATATTTTTTTTTTGCCTTATAGCTCCACAGTCTAAAGTTTAAGATATTGTCAAATTCCATAATGTACTATAGTGAAAAGATGCCATTAGGTACAGATCAAATCCCACGACACAACAGTTTTCAGGATCAAGGGTTGCAGTCGAAGTTAACTATGCTAGAAACTACCGTGAATTATAAAAAAATTGGACCAAAATTGACATAACAACACAAATAATGCTTCAATCAAAGTGCTTGTGAACACTGAAGGGTAAGAAGATGTGGTATGAGTGCCAATGAGAAAACTATCCATCCAAGTCACAATGTGTAAAAAGTAAACAATTATAGGTCAAAGTACGGCCTTCAACACAGAGCCTTGGCTCACACAGAACAGCAAGCTATAAAGGGCCCCAAAATGACCAGTGTAAACCAATTCAAACAGGAAAACCAACAGTTTAATCTATATAAAAACGTCGTAAGGGTTCCACGGAACCCAGTGTCTTGCCTACTTTTGCTGTTAGTCGCAGCTAGGCTCAACAAAAATGGGGAAAAAATTATTAAAAATTTTTCCTCTAGATACTATCTTTTGATTGTAAGAAGTTCTGTTCAAGTTTGGTAAAAATCCAAGAAGGTTAATGAATCTAATAAATGTTTTAAAAACTTTAACTACAGACTGTACGTTATGTTAACTGGAATAAAACTAAGTCCATCTATAAGTAATATACAGATAAACAGGAAATAAATTTTTACAAAATTTCCTTCTAGATACTAGCTTTTGATCATAAAGAAGCTTCTGTCCAAGTGTGGTACAAATCCAGGATAGTTTAAGAAAGTTATTAAAATTTTGAAAGCTTTAACCACAGAGTGAATGTAATGTTAACTGGCAGAAAAACTAAGTCCATTTATAAGTGAAATACGGATAAACAGGATTTTTTTTTTAACAAAATTTACTTTTGAATACTATCTTATGATCACAAACAAGCTTCTGTCCAAGTGTGGTACAAATCCAGGATAGTTTAAGAAAGTTATCAATTTGAATAAACTGCTTCGCTGAGCGCAGCTGGATACGCCCGCACAGGTCCAACCCTGAACAGTTGGGGCAAAAAGGGACACAATATTCAAGCTTGATACAGGTCTGAATTTGGATTGTAATTAAATATTTGATATATTATAGGTTTCTGAATAAATGTAGTCAAAGAACTTGAAATTGGTTATATGAAAGAGTTCTTGCTGTTGTGCAATACACTGTGCTGTAGCGTAATACTTGTTGTCAGACTATAAACAAATAAAATCTTATAACTCGGAAACATAAAATCGAAAATTTATAAAAATCAAAAGGGAGCTTACAAAATAGATATAAACAATTTACCAAAGTTTCATAAAAAATGCTGAAAGAATTTTAGAGTTATTGTCTGAAAACTGGAAAATCCCCCTTTTTGTAATGAATAAAACCCCATAAATCGGAAACGTAGAGTCTGAAATTTATAAAAATCAAAAGGGACCTCATGTCGATAGAAATAAACAATTCACAAAAGTTTCTTGCATTTTGGTGAAATTGTTTTTGAGTTATTGTCTGAAAACTGGAAAATCCCCCCTTTTTTAATGAATAAAACCCCAAAACTCAGAAGCGGTAAATCCAAAATTTATAAAAACACGAAAGGGAGCTCACGTCAACAGATATGAACAACTCACAAAAGTTTCTTGCAAATTGGTGAAATTTTTTTGAGTTATTGTCTGAAAACTTGAAAATCCCCCTTTTTTAATGAATAAAACCCCAAAACTCGGAAACGGTAAATCCAAAATTTATAAAAACCGAAAGGGAGCTCAAGTCAATAGATATAAACAATTCACTAAAGTTTCATGCAAATTGGTGAAACTGTTTTTGAGTTATTGTCCGAAAACTGGAAATCCCCCCTTTTTTAATGAATAAAACCCCAAAACTCGGAAATGATAAATCTGAAATTTATAAAAAACGAAAACGAGCTCATGTCAATAGATATAAACAATTCACCAAAGTTTCATGCATATTGGTTAAAGCGTTTTTGAATTAATGTCCGTCATGTTGACGATGGACGGACGGACAGACGGATGGACAGACGGTCAATGGTATACCATAATACGTCCGGTAAATGGGCGTATAAAAACTTTAACCACAGAGTGAATGTTATGTTAACTGGCAGAAAAACTCAGTCCATATATGAGTAAAATATGGATAAACAGGATTTTTTTTATTTTAATTTTCTTCCGGATACTATCTTATGATCATAAACAAGCTTCTGTCCAAGTTTGGTTGAAATGCAGGATAGTTTGAGAAAGTTATTAAAATTTCAAAAACTTTAACCACAGGGTGAATATTTGTGTACGCCGAAGGAATGTAGGATCGCTTTGTCTCACTTTTGCGACAAAAGTCGCAGGCTCGACAAAAACAAGAAACGAGAAACACTTATGAACAACACCAACAAATGACAACCACTGAACAACAGGCTCCTGACTTAGGACAGGTGCATAAAAATGCAGCGGGTTTAAAGGTTTTAACAGGCGCCAACCTTCACCCTAACCTGAAACAGTGGTGTAACATTACAACATAAAAAGACACACAATGAAATATCAATTGAAATGGCTTGACTCGATCAAAAAGACATAATCACAAAAACAAGTAAATATACACTGAACGAATAAGTTTGATCTATGACACATAAATACAATATAAATAAAAAAGATGTATCAATGTCAAAAAGACAACTTTAACCTAGGACAAAATGGCTTTAAATAAAGTACAGGTAAATTTCATTTTGCAATTTTGTGAATTTCTAAATAAAATATTGAATTGTATTTTGGTAGGCATTTTTGAGTTGGGAGTTATCTTCCTTTGTTCATTGTACTTTTGTAGTTGAACCTAATTTCTATGGGCAGACAACGTGAAGAAATTAATTTAATTTCAATCTCATTCAATTCCTACAAACGATTGAAATACACATCATATTGTAACCTAAATATCAAAGTATAACATATCATCAAAGAATTGCATGACATTGACTGTTTGAACTATCAAAGGTAGTGATCAGCCTTGGAAGATGTAGATATCAAGTCAGTACCATGGGGTTTTGATTGCATTTCATGCAATCTTTACCCCAAAATAAGGATCAAAACTTCATAATTTATAATGTGGTGTGCCATTTAAAAGTCCTTTTGTATCATTTCTAAAATTTATAGTTTTCCAGTCAGATTAAAATAAAATGCTCCGCATGACACAGCTTGATACGACTGGGGAGGTCAAACCCTGAACAATTGGGGCAAGTATGGACACAACATTAAAGCTTGATTCAGCTCTGAATTTGGATTGTGATTAAAATTTGACATAGCATAGGTTTCTGACACAGAATGAATGTGGTCTAAGAACTTAATCAAGAAATTTGAAATAAGACATTTACCAATTATGGTCCAATATTCAAAATCTAAATACATGGTTAGATTCAGCATATAAAAAACTCAAAGAATTCAATTTTTGAAGAAATCAAACAAATTTTGATTTTAGACCCTTTGGACCTCAACATGGACAAATTTAACGGTGGGGCCCAAAATCAAAAATCTAAATACACGGTTAGATTCAGCATATAAAAAAAACCCATATATTCAATTTTTGTTGAATCAAAAGAAAGTTTTATTTTGGACCCCAATTTGGAAAAACTTGAAAACTGGGCCGGAAATAAAAACTCTTAATAAATTTTGAGATTCAGCATATCAAACAACCCAAAGAAATCAATTATTGTTAAAATCAAACTAAGTTTAATTTTGAACCCTTTAGACCTTAATGTGGACCAACTTGAAAACAGGGCCCCAAATCATACATCTAAATGCACGGTTAGAATCAGCATATCAAAGAACCCCAAGAATTAAATTTTTGTTTAAATCAAACAAAGTTTTATTTTGGACCCTTTGAACCTTTATGTTGACCAATTTGAAAATGGGGCCAAATTTCAAATCTAAATACACGGTTAGATTCACCATATCAAAGAACTCCAATAATTCAATTTTTGAAAAAATCAAACAAAGTTTAATTTTGAACCCTTTGGACCTCAATGTAGACCAATTTAAACTAGAGGCTCTCAAGAGCCTGTGTCGCTCACCTTTATTTACTGATGCTTTGGAAATCATGTAAAATAAGGTTAAAATCATAATTAATAGTATTAGATATTAGATATTATAATGATATCTAAGATAATAACAAAAAACTAAAATTTCTGTAAAATTACTAACTCAGGGGCAGCAACCCAGCAAAGGGTTGTCGGATTCGTCTGAAAATTTCAGGGCAGATAAATCTAAATCTGATGAACATTTTTGCCACCTGTCAGATTTGCTCTAAATGCTTTAGTTTCAGAGATATATACCAAAAACTGCATTTTACCCGTATGTTCTATTTTTAACCAAGTCGGCCATGATGGTAGGAAGGCGGGGTCATCGGACAAATTTTTTAAACTAGATACCCTAATAATGATTATGGCCAAGTATGGTTAAATTTGTCTCTGTAGTTTCAGAGAAGAAGATTTTTGCAAAAATTTATGAAAAATTGTTAAAAATTGACTATAAATAATTCCTAAACATTTGCTAAAGGGGTCGACTGACAATTTTGGTCATGACGACTTATTTGTAGATCTTACTTTGCTGAACATTATTGCTTTTTACAGTTTATCTCTATCTATAATAATATTCAAGATAATAACCAAAAACAGCAAAATTTCCTTAAAATTACCAATTCAGGGGCAGCAACCCAACAACAGGTTGTCAGATTTGTCTGAAAATTTCAGGGCAGATAGATCTTGACCTGATAATCAGTTTTACCCTTATGTCAGATCTACTCTAAATGCTTTGGTTTCAAAGATATAAGCCAAAATCTACATTTTACCTCTATGTTCTATTTTTAGCCATGGCGGCCATCTTGGTTGGTTGGCGGGGTCATCGGACACATTCTTTAAACTAGATACCCTAATGATGATTGTGGCCATGTTTGATTAAATTTGGCTCAGTGGTTTCAGAGGAGAAGATTTTTGTACAAAGCTAACGACGACGACGGACGACGGACGCCAAGTGATGAGAAAAGCTCACTTGGCCCTTTGGGCCAGGTGAGCTAAAAAGGGGCCAAAAATCCTAATGCACAGTTAGATTCAGCATTTAAAGAACCTCAAGAATTCATGACTAAATAAAATCCCATTGAAATTGGTTAAGAAATTAACAATGTATATAAAGTATTAGAAAAGTATTGTTTTTTTGGTCTCTTTTTCAATGTTTTTAGCCCTTAATTCCTAACAACAGTTAGGGCCACAACCCCCAAAATCAATCCTAACCTTCATTTTTGGTATGGAACCTTGTGGTACAATTTCAAAGAGATCCATAGACTTATACTCAAGTTATAGTCTGGAAACCAGAAAATCCCATTTTGGCCCCCTAATTCCTACATAATTTGGGCCATAACCCCCAAAATCAATCCCAACCTCCCTTTTGAGGTATGGAACCTTGTGGTACAATTGCATAGAGATCTATACACTTTAAACAAGTTATTGTCCCGAAACAAGAAAAATGATTGTTTTTGGCCCCTAATTCCCAAACAGTTAAGACAATAACCCCAAAAATCAATCCCAACCTTCCTTTTGTGGTATGGAACCTTCTGGAACAATTTCATAGAGATTCACTTCTCTTATACTAAAGTAATTGTCTGGAAACCAAGTTTCTTCGGATGACAACAATGACGATGATGCCACCGCAAAGGGCATCACCATATCATCATATGGCTGCAAATTTTTGCGGTTGTAAAAAAAATATCTAGGGCCAATTTTAACCAATCATTTCCCTACTCTTTTAGATGGTTTGTAGAAGGTTTAATCAATTTTGAAGTTTCATAACATTTCACATTGTACTTTACGAAATGCAGAATTTCAGGTGGTATATCAAAATCAAGGATTGCTGCCAGTTGTGTTTTTCACCAGTACTGAACCCATAAGAATCATTTGTACAAGATCTTCAGTGCACCATTTCTTTCAAAGTTTGGTTAAAATTGTAAAAGATGATGAAAGTTTGATTTTAGCATAGGATTTCAATGAAGCTATATACCGGTATATGACATCACTGTAACTTATGATGATGTTTGCCACCTGATAATGGTTAAATGCCAACAGTTTGTAGATGGTCTATTGTATCAAAACTTGTTTCTTCTTATATTATGACCTCTTACCTCTAATATTTATTTTTGTATTGGTGAGTTGCTATCTCATTGATGTATATCAGAAGTCCCCTTTTATTCATTTATTTTGTAGTTGAGGGACAAACTTTTCTGTCTAATGGATAAAATTAAATACTTACTTTTTACAAATTCAAATGATCTTAAAGCAGAATCAGTAAATGGACAGGCTTTCAATTTAATAGCTCTCTCAAGTTTACCACTTAGGTCCCTGTACTGGTTAAAATATCTAGATGTCAACATCAAAGTCACAACCAGAGATGAATTGTATGGCCTAGAAATAAATTTTTATCACATTAATGTCAATGAATATTATTCATACATTTAACCATATGATGTCATTGATCATAGAGGTCGGTCAATTTAAAACCTATCCAATCGTACCTGAGGTGCATTGACATATATGTATCTTGGGACATACTAAAATAATATGTCATACAATCCTTGAGTGAAATATTGTTGAATATGTGTAGGAGCTGCTCTTACGAGATACGTGGCACTATGTGTGACAGTGTGTAACAAGTGTAAATGCCCAAGTTTAATTATCTCGCATCTGGAACATAACAAAATCAAGTGCACTTTATTTTGAGCCACACAGAATGTAGAAGTTTAAGTCATTAAATTTAAAGATTTCCAAATGGTACATTTCTAAATATAAGGTAATGCAAGATTAAGAAATGAAGCAAACTCAGCTCCTTACCTGAAACAGTAAAAACCATAAAACAGGCATGAAATAACGAAAAAGGGGAGGCAAGTGTGACAGGCCACTGCAAAAGGTAGGCAAGGTAAGTGATTTATTTTGCCCCCAAAATCATGTCCATTATGTCAATATGAAATTTTTTTTCTTTTTTTTTTTTTTCTGTGTTGCATTTGGTAAGTTTTACTGTCTTCGTGCCATTGCCCCATATCTGTTGTTTTTTCACAAGCCTACATTTGCTAATGATAAAGCCCGCCCCTGCTCTAATACTACTAATGTTCAATTACAACAGTCTAGTTACTTATTGGGTAATATTTTGTTTTGCAAAAAGTTTCCATATGTGTAGTAAAAATCAACAACAAGAATGGGTGGGAATTTCAGATCCAGATAGATTTGTAATCTTGACCTTTAGTTATGAGTATCAAAATTTTTTTCACATCATATCATCTGGTAGTAATTAACATTAATACTAAGTATCAACAATTATATCCAAGGGTACAATAGTTGCTATTGAACATTAAGCAAAATTCAATCAATCCAAGGGGTACTCAACTATATATTATTCAAAAATACTGAACAATAAAATTGAGAATGGAAATGGGGAATGTGTCAAAGAGACAACAACCCAACCAAAGAGCAGATAACAGCCCAAGGCCACCAATGGGTCTTCAACACAGTGAGAAAATCCCGCACCCGGAGGCAGGCTTCAGCTGGCCCCTAAACAAAAATGTGTACTAGTTCAATGAAAATGGACGTCACACTAAACTCCAAAACATATAAATGAACTAAAATTAAAAAACATACAAGACTAACAAAGGCCAGAGGCTCCTGACTTGGGACAGGCGCAAAAATGCAGCGGGATTAAAAATGTTTTGTGAGATCTCAACCCTCCCTCTATACCTCTAGCCAACGTAGAATAAACAAACACACAGCAATACGCACAGTAAAACTCAGTTTAAAAGACGTCCGAGTCTGATGTAAGAATAGGTAACAAAAGAAACTAAGCAAAATGACAATGATACATAAACAAAAAATTCGTAAGGGGTTCCTTTAGTCGCAGGCTCAACAAAAATGGGGAAAAAATTATTTAAAATTTTCCTCTAGATAATATCTTTTGATTGTGAGAAGCTTTGATCCAAGTTTGGTAAAAATCCAGGATGGTTTATGAATCTAATAAATGTTTTAAAAACTTTAAGTGCCGACTGTATGTAATGTTAACTGGAAGAAAAACTAAGTCTATTTATAAGTAATATACGGATAAACAGGAAATAAGTTTTTACAAAATTTCCTTCTGGATACTATCTTATGATCATAAACAAGCTTCTGTCTAAGTTTGGTAGAAATCCAGGATAATTTAAGAAAGTTATTAAAATTTTAAAAACTTTAAACACAGAGTGAATGTAATGTTAACTGGCAGAAAAACTAAATCCATTAATTTATAAGTAAAATAAGGATAAACAGGATTTTTTTTTTACAAAATTTACTTCTGGATACTATCTTATGATTATAAACAAGCTTCTGTCCAAGTTTGGTAGAAATCCAGGATAGTTTAAGAAAGTTATTAAAATTTTAAAAACTTTAAACACAGAGTGAATGTAATGTTAACTGGCAGAAAAACTAAATCCATTAATTTATAAGTAAAATAAGGATAAACAGGATTTTTTTTTTACAAAATTTACTTCTGGATACTATCTTATGATTATAAACAAGCTTCTGTCCAAGTTTGGTAGAAATCCAGGATAGTTTAAGAAAGTTATTAAAATTTGAAAAACTTAAACCACAGAGTGAATATTTGTGGATGCCGCCAACGACTAGACAACGACGACGGAATGTAGGATCACTATGTCTCGCTTTTGCAACAAAAGTCGCAGGCTCAATAACAAACATCTTTGCTAGCCAAGGGTTACGATCCACTTCCCTCCTCTCCACCCTTGGCGGATTGAGATAGAATTTCGGAGACACAAGGTAATGATTTTCATCCAATCAAAAAGCACCTATAACATGATCACGTGTAAATGTAGAAAGTGTATGTAAACAATTGCCACGTGCTTATTGTGCAACAAGTCTTTACATCCCTAAACATACGACTATATTTAGTGACAATTTGAATGTTTTTAATCAACTAATAGAAGTTCCTGTGTATGTTTCTTGCACAAATGCATGAATGTCAACGTATATTTTCGTTTCCTGCTTTACCAAGTGTGTAGAATCTAGACGCTACCATGTTTTTACCTCCAAATTGAAGAGTTCAAATGCTACCATTGGTCAAAAATAATGTATTCGGAATGGGCGTGACTTTAATCTACCGATAGATGGCGCAACATTGTTATCACAAATGTTGGCTTAATCTGCCAAGGGTGGAGAGGAGGGAAGTGGATCGTTACCCTTGGCTAGCGAAGATGGACAACAAAGGACTACTAGCAGTTACTGACATGCCAGCTCCAGACCTCAATTAAACTGATTGAAAGGTTATGTTTTCATCATATGAAAATCAAGCACAATCCCTCTCGTTAGGGGTTTAGTATCATACCATCATAAAATATATGAGAAGAACATAACCTGTATCATGCCAACAACTGGTTTTAGAATAAATGTGTTTATTTCCAATGCAAAGACCCTATGAGTGAATCAATATTAATACCAAAATATGACATCTTTAATGACCTGACAACAGTATCGTAACTATATCCCTTCTGAATAAGTCTGTTTAAAGGTTTGGTTAGCTTTTGAGGTGAATGTCGACATTTTTGTGCTTTGTATAGAATATTACCATAAAAGATTAGATGTGAAATACCTGAACGTATAAGATGTCTGCATGTTGATTTATATTTACGAATGATGTCCTTGTACCGATGATAAAATTTAGTAAATGTTTTGACTAGTTTGTGATATCGAAAACCCTGGTGTAACAACCCTTCAGTAATGCAGCGGTTTCATTTGTTAAAATGAAATAAGTTGTTACATACACAAGCGAATCGAACAAGTTGAGATATATAAACACCATAAGATGGTGACAAGGGAACGTCACCATCTAAAAATGGATAATTAACAATAGGAAATGAAAAATCATCTCTTTTATCATAAATTTTGGTATTAAGCTTCCCATTAAAAATATAGATATCAAGATCCAGGAAAGGGCAGTGTTCATTGTTAGTATTAGCTTTATTTAAAGTCAGTTCAGCAGGATAATATATTTAGTGTACATACTGAAGTCATCATTATTGAGAGCCAATATATCATCCAATTATCTAAAAGTGTTATTAAATTTTAGTATCAGATGTTGTTTCGATGGGTCTTTGCTGATTTTAGTCATAAATTGTAACTCATAACAATACAAAAACAGGTCCGCAATAAGTGGTGCACAGTTAGTCCCCATTGGAATTCCGATAACTTGACGATATACGGAATCTCCATAGCGAACAAAAATGTTGTCTAGTAAAAATTCAAGGGCAGTAATCGTATCAAAGCAGGTCCAATTGACATAGTTCTTTTGTCTGTTGTTACTAAAAAATGACCTGAAAGAGTTAGAACATATATATTTGCATTCTGAGTTTTTAAATGCCCATTTAATTAGGTGTGTGAATTTTTTCTTAATAAGATTATAAGGCAAAGTGGTATATAGGGTAGAAAAATCAAAACTTTGAACAGATTCTAAATCACCAACATGAGCATGCAATTTATCAAGTACTTCCAACGAATTTTTAACACTCCAAAAGTAATTAATTCCACTATTTTCAAAGGCCTTATTTGAACAATCTATTACCAGGTTTTTGATTGTACCAAGTGTACTAGTAAGTAGAATAGACAGTTTAGTAGTGGAACAATGGCTTGAAGACGAAATAAATCTATATTTGTAAGGTGTTTTGTGCAGCTTCGGAAACCAGTACATAGTTGGAACTTTCATCGTATTTGGTTCTGCTTGTAAAGAAGTAGCTAAAAGCTTATGTTTGTTACAGATGTCATTTTCCGAAAATGGAGTCAGTTTGAATGTTGGTGAATTCGTGATTTCCTTTTGCAGAACCTCAATGTAAAATTTAAAAAATGATATTATTAACAGCCTTATTCTGAATTATTCTGAAGTTCAATAATTTGCTCTTAAATGAATGATAAAACAGCTTTATCTAAGAGAGGTTAAAGCCAGTCAAGCTTAACATATATACAATTCAAATACCCAAATCTAATAAATTGCTGTTGGGGAATATCAATCATCCTATAAATATAATTTTTAAAACAATTTGAACCTCTTAATACTTGAAGCTTGAAAAATCAATATAAAACATGACTTTTTTAGAACAAACATATAAAACAAGGTCATAAAACAAGATAGATATTGAAAATACAATTACATATGTATACAATTCTGTCAATACTATCACAAGCCTTATTAGCATACAAAAAGCCATACAAAATGTAACAGAAGGTTACAGCAATACAGCTATAAAATGTTCATTGTTCTCACAAGGTCTTTATTGCAATAATGAGCAAAGCGATGTGTTTCGAAATGGTTTTCTCTAGAAAAGCAAAATGTGCTTTTAGTTTTTATGGAGAGATGACATCATTACAGATTTCTTGATTAGGAATCAAACAGTTAAAATTACACGAGTCATGATCAGATAATAGCTTATTCCAGCCCTTTGAGCTTGGTGATAAATATATCTAACAAGGTCTGGATTAAATAAGATTTGGAAAAAGTGAAGACATTTAGTAAATGTTATTGTCAGCAAAAATTTCACCCTTTTCACAGACACTTGAAAATCACTGAGGTACTCTACATTTCCTTCTTATGATATTTTAAACATTGATACCTATTTATTTATGTTTTTTTTTTGCCCTGTGGTTGTCTGTTTTTATTTGTCTAAAGACTTTGGATTTGATACACATCCCCTATTTTGAAATGATTCACAAATGATTCAGTCCATTTTTTATTTATTTTCATTTTTTTTTTGGTGGGGGGGGTTGAGTATAACAAACTTTGCTTAGCATAATGTAATACTTTTAAACTTACTTATGGTCTAAAACTTTTACTGTGCATCTCGGAAAACTTGTTTGCAATTTTTCTGTTAAAGCTCTTTCAACTTTCTTTAACTCAGCTTGGATGTTTTCATATTCAATGTTTGTAAAAACCACACTGACCTTATACAAATTTTCTCCTGGAATAGACAAAATTACAAAAAATAATACAAATGGAATAGATATAACAATTATAGGTTCTAAATGCCTGTGTTGATCACCTGGGTCTATGTGCATCATCAACAATGGTCACTCTCCAACATTATAGACTAGTTCATAATTCATGACTAAAATTTTATTTTTTGTATTTTAGTTTCTCATCTACTACAGTTTTTGCCAAAAATGTCAAAATGGGTACAAAAATCATCATTAGTTAAAGGCATTCACTGCTATGATAACTGGACTGACAAATTCAGCTATATGACTTAATCATTTTAATTGTAGATCTTGTCTTGCTGATCATTTTTGCTGTTTGAAGTTTCTTTCTCTTTTGCTACTTTAGTTTTTGCCCAAGATGTGTAAAGATCCTAATTTAAGGGCATTCACTCCTATAAGGAATTGACCGACAATTTTAGAAATGTTGACTTGTAAATAGATCTAGATTTGCTAATGAATTTTGCTAGTTACATTTTCTCTATATCTATTACAGATTTCTAGGTAATAGGCAAAATCAAAAGAAAATTATCTTAGGGCAATATCCCCTAAAAGGAGTCAACTTAGGATATCTACTTTTTTTATTTAGTAGTAGAAAATAATCTTGCTGATAATTTTTGCTATTTATATTTTCTCTCTATCTATTATAATTCTCAAGATAATAGACAAAAACGCCCAAAATTGGTAAAAATCTAAGGGTAATACTTCCTATATATATATATCTATAAGCGATAAGAAGTCACTTTTTTCAACTAGGGATTGACCATTTTGTCCATGTTTGACTTATTGGTATTAATCTTGTCTTACTGATAAGTTTTGCCATTAAAAGCTTCTCTCTATTTATTATGGTTTTCAAAATAATAGACATAAACCTAAATAAACTGCTTCGCTGAGCGCAGCTGGATACGCCCGCAGAGGTCCAACCCTGAACAGTTGGGGCAAAAATGGACACAATATTCAAGCTTGATACAGGTCTGAATTTGGATTGTAATTAAATATTTGACATATTATAGGTTTCTGAATAAATGAAGTCAAAGAACTAGAAATTGGTTATATGAATTGAATTTATATTCAATTAAAGATTTCTTGCTGTTGTGCAATACACTGTGCTGTTGCGCAATACTTAATAAATCTGTTGTCAGACTATAAACAAATAAAGTTCAATTAATTAACAATGTCATATTAGAAATTTATGAAAATGTAAAGGGAGCTTACATCAATAGATATAAACAATTCACCAAAGTTTCATGAGAATTGCTGACAGCATTTTTGAGTTATTGTCCGAAAAATTCCCCCTTTTTTAATGAATAAAACCCCATAACTCAGAAATGATAAATGAAAAATTTATAAAATTCTAAACGGAGCTTACATCAATAGATATAAACAATTCACCAAAGTTTCATAAGAACTGCTGAAAGCATTTTTGATTTTTTTACCAAAACTGGAAAATCCCCCTTTTTTTATGAATATGAATAATGAACTCGGAAATGTAAAATCTAAAATATATAAAAATCGAAAGGGAGCTCATGTCAATTGATATAAACAATTCACCACAATTTCTTGCAAGTTGTTAAGGATTATTGATTATTGTCCGAAAACTGGAAAAATCCCCCTTTTTTTAATGAATAAAACCCCATAACTCGGAAACGTAAAATCTAAAATTGATAAAATCGAAAGGAAGCTCATGTCAATAGATATAAACAATTCACCTCAGTTTCTTGCAAGTTGGTGAAAGCATTCTTGAGTTATTGTCCGAAAACTGGAAAATCCCCCTTTTTTTAATGAATAAAACCCCATAACTCGGAAACGTAAAATCTAAAATTTATAAAAAACGAAAGGGAGCTCACGTCAATAGATATAAACAATTCACCAAAGTTTTATGCAAATTGGTTAAAGCGTTTTTGAGTTAATGTCCGACATGTTGACGACGGATGGACGATGGACAGACGGACAACGGTATACCATAATATGTCCCGTAAACGCCCGTTTCGGGCGTATAAAAAATGGTAAAAATCGTCTCTAAAGGCAATTACTTCATTGAAGAGTCAACTGACAATTTCGGCCATGCTATCCCACATGAAGATGTTGTCTTACTGATCATTTTTGCATTTTTAAGTTTCCCTCTATTTATATAAATAGTTTTTAAGATAATAGGTAAAATCACAAAACATTTGGTAACAAACCATCATTCAACGGCAATAACTCATAGAAAGAGCTGACTATTTCCGACATGCTGCTTTATTTGTAGACATAGTCTTGCTGGTAAATTTGTCTAGTCAATGTTTCTCTTTATCTATTTTAGTTTGCAAGATAATAGGCAAAACGAAAAAAAATCGTAAAAATCAATCTTAAAACGGACTTAATCAAAAAATGACTGCAACATCCATAACCAATTTCTTAAGAAAACTGATGGGATTATTTCAAGTATTTGGCAATATAGCCTCCTAACTTTATCATCGAGTAAGAAGCTGGCACTGGCAACTGTGGTTCTGTAAACTGCCTAATATTTGAGAGAAAACATCAACTCAAGGCCTTGAAATATGAGTATGCTTGGAGTGACAAATAAAGATGTACTATTATTCATTTACTTATAATTCTTTACCTGTTTAAATGTGTTATAATTCAAAGTAGGCAATGGTTGGATGCCATCCCAAAACCATATTAAAAAATAATTTATATTTGTAACAGTGACCTTGATCATTGGGCCTGTTGACCCTAAAATCAAAAATTGTCTTCCACTTCCCTACATATTCAAGCTGAACTCCAATCAAGCAAGGGAAACTGAAGCTACCATCCAGAAACCATTTTTTTCAACAAATCTTTATTTAAGTAAGACTTTGAACTTTGACCTATTGACCCTAAAATCAATAGGCTTCTTCCATTTCCCTATATTTAGAATAAGTTTCATGCTGATCAAGCAAAAAAAACTCAATATTACCATCTGGAAGCCATTTTTCATGAATTTTCTGTTTAAGTAACAGCAACCTTGACCTTTAACCTATTGATTGCAAAATAATAGGCTTTTCCTGTTTCCCCAAAACTTTCATCTTGGTCAATATCCCTAATATGCCTCAAAATGAGGTCTGCAATGATATTGGACATGGAGCTATTTTTAATAATTGACTAGGCTTAGCCATTTGTGCTTTTTTGAAGAACAGAAGACAATAGGTATAAAAACTATGGAGTTAATAAATGCTTGTTAAGAACTATCCTGAGGAATTTAATTGTGTGAAAATAGGGATATTTCCCTATTCGAAGGAGACAAATATTATGGAAAATAATACCCCTTAAAGTTTAACCACACATGTGAAATTGTCTCAGCCTAGGTTAAGCCATCATACATATTAAAGTTTATGATATGGACAAAGGAATTGAAGAAAACACCACTCAGTAACAGTAACATTGACATTTGACTCCAAAATTAATAAGTTTCTTTCCCTTCCCTTTATCGTCCATCTGTATAAGTTTCATTCCAATAACGCAAGAGAAACTCAAATTACCATCTGGAAACAATATTTTCAAAAATTTTCTATTTTAAGTAACTATGCCCTTTGACCTAGATATATCAACCACAAAATCAATAGCCTTCACCCCCTTCCCTATATATTCCATGGGTATAAGTTTCAAGAAAGGAAGACAAAAGTTACCAGTCTGAAAAACTACTTTTAGTACAGTTACCTTTTGATCTATTTACAACCATATTATTAGGTTACTTAACCTTACATTTATTTGCAATCTGTATAAGTTTATTCAATGCATCTACCTACTTAGTCTGGTCAACCTAAGTTCTACAGTACAACAGTTAAACCCCTGACACAAATCAGACAAGATTTTACTATCATAGGGGTCAAAGGTCAAAGTCAATGTCACAGTGACCTGATTTTGGTATGTGACACACTGCCTTCCCCTGATGCATTTGCATACCAATATAAAAATAAGGAGATGTGGTATGATTGCAAATGAGAGAATTTTCCACCAAAAAAATAGGCAACTGTACTCCTTCAACAATGAGAATAAAATGCTTCGCAGAGCGCAGCCTGATACGACCGCCAAGGTCGAACCTTGAACAGTTGGGGCAAGTTTGGACACAATATTCAAGCTTGATACTGTCTGAATTTGGATTGTGATAAAATTTTTGACATAATATAGGTTTCTGACACAAGATAAATGTGGTCAAAGAGCTTAAAAATTTGAAATGGGACATTCATTTTACCTAGAATGGTCTGATATCCAAAATCTAACAACATGGTTAGATTCAGCATATAAAAAAACACCAAAAATTTAATTTTAGTTGAAATCAATCAAAAGTTTAATTTTGGACCCTTCAAACCTTAATATGAACTAATTTGAAAACCGGGCCCAAAATAAAAAATCTAAATGCACAATAAGATTCAGCATATGATATGCATACAGCCGCAATAATTCAGTTTTTGATGAAATCAAACAAAGTTTAATTTTGGACCCTTTTGACCTCAATGTAGACCAATTTAAAAATGGGGCCCAATATCCAAACTAGAGGCTCTAAAGAGCCTGTGTCGCTCACCTTGGTCTATGTGCATATTAAACAAAGGACACAGATGGATTCATGAAAAATTGTGTTTTGGTGATGGTGATGTGTTTGTAGATCTTACTTTACTGAACATTCTTGCTCCTTACTATTATCTCTATCTATAATGAACTTATACCCGGTAGTTACAGTGGAAAATACTTTGTAAAAATTTACAAAAATTTACAAAATTTATGAAAATTGTAAATAAAATGCTCCGCTGGGGCGCAGCTTGATACGACCGCAGAGGTCGAACCCTGAACAGTTGGGGCAAGTATGGACACAACATTCAAGCTTGATACAGCACTGAATTTGGATTGTAATTAAATATTTGACACAGCATAGGTTTCTGACACAGAATGAAAGTGGTCTAAGAACTTAAAAATTTTTAATTTACCTATTCAGACCATATCATTATTATTTGCTTTTATATATAAATCA